TGAATTTGGTGGATTCACCGCACTGTGACTGTGGGATGATATCCACCACTAATCACATTTTTTTTTAATGTGAAAGCAACAGTTTTGCTACAAACGTGCTCATAAGTGGACTAATCACTCAAAAAGTTCACCTTCCAACATCTCTAGATGTTAAGGATGAAGGATAGCAAGATATATAAACTAATTTTAAATTTTATCAAAATCTCTGGCTGTATTGTTTAAGTATTTATTATATATGTGTTTATTTTGTTGTTTCATTTTTGTGCTTTATTACCCCTTATTAATCTTTATAACACTTTTTATTTACTGATCCGAAGCCTTCTCACACTGTGATAAGAGCTGATAGGTCGTGAAAAGTTTGTATAAATGTTGAATTATTTTATTTTTTGTTATTTTTATTATTTATAAATTTCTTGTATATTTATAAATTAGCAAGGTGATTCCGTGTAATTGTCTGTAGACATCTTAATAGTCCATTCACCTTTCTATTGTTATATTTTTTATTTTTTGCTTGTTTATATGCTCTTTTCGTTTGTTTGTACTATATACTATGTGTTTATTTACTGTTTTATTCGTAGCATGACATTGACTGGCTACATACACTGTAAGGTGTGAGCTAAGTGCACACCTCCTCTCTATTATAGAGTGGAGGAATCAGAACAGAACAGAAATTTTTATTTGAGACCCCAAATAAAAATTTGTCGGAGGATCCTAAACAATATTTTGCATTCATTTGAAGTTTCGTCACTAATTAGGATGTTTCTTAGTATATACTCTATATGATCAAAATTATACTAAGATTAAATAAATTAAAAATATGTAGTTTCTAAACTATTGATATGCTTCTTGAAGATATTTGGAGTTACGTCTCAAATTATCTTCATGATATATTTACATGTTTGCAAATTGGGTCAAGAAATTAGAGAAACAGTAAACATAGTACTGTTTATCTGGCAGTCATAAAATATTAAACTAATTGCACTGTTCTCAAATATTGACGTAAAACTTTCCTTGAATGTGAACAACCCTTTGATATAATGCAATTTTGTTATCCATTATGAAGTGCAACGCTGATACTGCAAGCGCACCACAACGATACCTAATACTCAAATCCTTAGTCAGTTGATACCAATACTCGAAACATATGCTTCCTCCTAACATGAAGATGTGTGTCACCAAACTAATCATAATTTTTACCATCAATCATCTTACTAGAGTTATATAATTATACCAAAAAAGCTATATTCTAGCAGAATAATGATTTGATTCCAGAAAATGGAATTACTTACAAAAATTACGATGATTGTCCAGAAGCATTATTCTCTGCGCAATGTATCAATGAGGAGTGTATTTGCGTCCTGTAAGTGCATTTAACTTTGTTTTATAACTTAAGAAATTGTATTCAATTTTATTTTACTAATAACACATATTTACTTCGGTACACAAGACTTGGAGCAGACAGAATGCAAACCTTTTGGTATGATGTAGTATAACTAGTAACTAGAAGCATCAACACTTCAAATTTTAAAACACATTGCACTAATAATCTCTAAAACTTAATTCAGCAAAAATTCAAACTTTGCAAATGATATTTTTCAAATTTCTATCTAAACATTGCTTAAAGTATATTTAGATTTGAACAACTACAATTCCCAGTGAGTAGATTATGTAATAGCTGTACTCTGCAATTGGAAAAATGCATTTAATAACTTATGATGTTTGTTTTATTTTTATTATAATTCATTAATGTATTCTTTCAAGCCATTGACACAAATTGAACTATTGATTCATGTTCCAGTTCACTTTTCGCAATATATTTTTCATTCTCTTTCGTATTTACAAAACGATATTTAAAATAGGGTTAACATCAATCAAGACATTATAAGATAATTTCACCAATTACTTTTACTACTCTCATTATAATGCAAAAATCCTATAAAAAGTTTCAAATTTTTATTAATTAATCTCAAAACAATACAAATGGAAGCTTATGCCAACAACTTTAAGTCAATTTCTCCAATTAAAAAAAAATCAACTCAATATTGTTTCAAGTTATATCAAAATACGGTAGAATTATTTCACTTATTACTTCAATAAATATTTGCAGATTGACACATCTAGTCAAATATTTTATGAGAAATTTAGAGACAAAACAATTTGTAGCCTAAACCTTTTTTAAAGAGTATTTGGAAATAATACCATAAGTGAGATGGTATATTTGGTCACTCTCTAAGATTTTTATTTATAAAAACTTGACTCCTTTCTTCCTGATCACACGTTTATAATTACTTAAGCAAGTGTCCCCACATTGACACTATTATGTCTTGGGTCTAAATCGCAAGCCCGACGTTCGAAATCCCGAGTGTATCGAAATCCCGACTACCATAATCCCGACAATCAAAATCCCGACTGTATCAAAATTCCGAATATATCGAAATCCCGACTACCATAATCCCGACAGTGTCTTTTATTAATTTAATTTCTACAATAACAGTTTATATTATTCTACTATATTTTAATAGGTACGACGGATACTGAAAAAAATATTTTTAAGACTTAGGTCGATGGCTCTTTTGCCTGATTATTAATTGTTATTGTTATTGTATTTTTTTTTCGTTGACTTATTCATTATAAAACTTTAGAATAAGAAATATTCTATAATAAAATTAGTTTATGTTATTAACAATAAATAACAACAATTAATAATCTTATTATTATTGTCGGGATTACGATATAGTGGGGATTTTGAATGTCGGGATTTTGACATAGTCGAGATTTCAAACATCGGGATTCGATACACTCGGGATTTCGATAGACGGGATTTCGGTTGTCGGGCTTGCGATTGCCACCGTTATGTCTTATTATCACTTCCTCTCCAAAATCCTTTCATTATCTTTCTTGATGGATTCTAGTTGATAACGTATTAAATGGCAACTTTTAAGAAATTCCAACAACTCCAATGGTAAATTTGATTTCCAAGATTCCTGGTTATTTATGACTTTAATATTCTAAGAGTTTTCCATTTTTGATCACATCTCAGTTATCACGTTTCTTACCCAAACCTAACCCAAACCAATCAAAAACATAACCCATTCTAAATATACCTAACATAAACCAAAGTCCATGACCAAATTCAATATTAAACTATCTTAACCATATTATGTACTTTCTCAGTTATCATAAGTCTTATTCTTACCAAAACCTATTCCTAACCCACCATAATTATAAATTCAAGATTAAAGTAACAACCAAATTATGAAAAACTCAATTATGCTTATGAGACTACAATTTAGAATTATACCATAAAATATTCATTTTTAACAAATGTTTAAAAAAAAATCAATTACTAAATTTTTGTATTAAACATATACTTTTCTATGTAGGTACATGCAACGAAACAACAATGAAAAAGATCTTATATTTTAAATTACTAATGATATTATATACTACTTTGGCTATTAACTTGCTTATACTATTATTCATTTGGTACTTGAAAATATGGTATGTAATAGGACATAACTATAAGTAATTATAACAAATGAATTTATTTTAGGCAAATTCAACGTATTAATCAATACCGTCAACACACCAGAATTAACCGAACTACAGTGATTATCTAAATTTTAGCAGGTTTCAATTATGTAGTCATAACATATTATCAACAATGCACATACATATATTATTTTGATCACTATTCATATTTATATAATTGAAAGCATCTTATATTAAATGATAAAAAATAAAATATAGCATTTTTTCGTATAGTGCGGATTCACTTGCAAATTTCATAGTACACAATTTGTTTTTCTACATAAATGATTGAAAATCTTTGATTAGTCGGGTTTCAAACAGTCTGGGATATTGGCGGAACATGCGAGGAATTGCTGTATACCATTTAAAATTAATAATACTTTGTATACCTTGAATCACTTTAAGCTGATCTTAACAAATTGTGCTACAATTAATAAAGCTTTACATAAATACATTTACTTATATAAATCTTGAATAACTTTTCTCGAAATATTAAAAGTATTACCAAATTCTAAACAAATCTTTATAAAATTTTATTAAATTAAAAGACTAACAAAGAGGAATAGTTTACAATAATTAATTATAAAATATTATATCACATTTGTAAATTATTACTATTTATGTGTATAATAAAAAAATATATATGTAAGAGTTTACACATAGAAACCATCTAGTATACAATTACATATTGTATTAATGAGTTGAATTTGAAGTGAGTAGAATATAAGGAAAACAGTATGTTACCCCATCTCTCCCATGACATTCTCCAGACATGCACACTTAATGGTAATTCTATTTATAACGAATTTAATGACTTAAAGCTTCTAAAAGCTATAGTAAATATACTTAATATATACATTATTGGTATATAAAGGAAATACACTTTCAACTAAAATTTGTTATTGATTTTTATACTTTAGAATAAGTTATAACAATTTCAAATATACAAACATATTTGGCTTCAATTTACAATTTTTTGATTATGATTTTATGTTATTTTTAATTGAATATAAAACTTGTGTGTTAAACAATTTTATTTAATTTCTGTGATTATTAATACTGATCTCTGTCGATATAAATGGAAGAGAGCGTGATAAAATTCAATAGACTTTGAAAGAAAAATAAAAATTTCAAGGCAAGCTTAGTTTTCAATGATATGTGGAAATAGGACATCTGTATAAAATAATAATAACAATTGTTTTTTATTTGATATTTAATCCAAGAACGACATGCACTTAATAAACTATTTATTTCAATTAATGAATAACATATAATGAAAGCGTTCATTGTATGACCATTGACCTTAGGATTCGCTTCGTAGAAATGAAAAACTTGAGTAGGTCAAGTAGACAATCTTTCAGAAAGATCTAGAAATATTATATAAACTCGGTGGAACAGATTTACGTGTCCCAAATCATGCGGCATTTCCTTTGTTGGGAATTAGTATGGGGGGCCAGGTGCAAGTGAAAAGTGTTTGAATGAAATCCGAAAAAAATGCAGCAATAGAAAAGAAGAAAAAGAAAAGAAAACACTAAAGGTCTTAGCTCATAAATAATTGTTGAAAAGGATATGGGATTAAAAATGATTCATCGCATCATTTTTAGTTTTATAGATATAATAGGATGATTATTTAGCGAAATGCAGCAACTGAACTCTGAAATAGGATCGTTGCGTGTGCTCGTGCACGTGCAGAAAATTAAGGATTTTAAGTTCAAGGTATATCGCAGGAGGTAAGCAATTAAGGGCTGTTGAAACACATTCATGTTTATGAACCGGTCATGTTCCATTGACGCACCAAGTGGAGTTACAAAACTACTTAAAACGTGCCTCCAGTCGATTCTGTTTCCCGAAGTGTGTCATCAATCAATCTGGTAGTACAATAAAATTTCCACCGAAAAAAAAATATATAGAAAAAAAAAAGGTTCTGGAAGGGAGTTTCCGGTGGTGGGAGACGAGCCTTTATATAAACCGACCGCCGAAGAAGTGCTTCAAAACGAGAATTATGTGTCTACCAACAAGAAGCGAGCTCAGGCCTCCGAGACCAAGCAAATTTGTGCTGAAGAAGCAGTTCAAGAACTTGCAGACCTTTGAAAACACAGTAGACGATGCTGACTTCGACGATGTCCTTTCGCAAACAACACAGTACACGAAGACAGCTATTGATGCGATCAATGACAACATTAAGTGCTTCCAGAAATCCGCAGCTTACAAGTAATATCTAACAATTAGTGATAATTATTCGCAAAAAATCAACAATTTCTTAGGATTCTGTTCAAGACGACGCAACCAGCTCATTTGATAACAGCCGTGGCCGTGGCTGCGATCGGTCTTATGCTGTATCCAAATTCATACGAAAATGCAGAAGCTCCATCAAGTATTTTCAATTTAATATATTTGGGATCGTTTAGCATATATTTCGGAACTCAGATATGGATGACTTTCGTTTCCGGCCTCTCCCTGTACTTCTCGCTGCCTCGTCACCATTTCGGTAACGTTCAAAGGGTTCTCTTCCCCAAATACTTCTTGCTGAATAGTCTCCTCTGCATGTTGACTCTTTGGATTTTTGTTAAACGTCACCAGACTGAGATGCTACAGGTAAACTGGATCCATGTCGCTGCGGTAACAATAGTCTTCATGGAATTTCACTTTTCAGATATTGGTGTTAACGACATCCTTTCTGATCAACCTATTGATTAGGCTCTACCTGGCTCCACCGCTCTTGAAATTGATACTGATGAAGAACAGGATTGAACATGCGGCCGGCATTGGAATGGAAATTGGGGTTCACGATGCCGGCCCATTAAAAAATTGCCCACACTATATCAAGATCCATAGATCATTCCGCACCGTCCACATGACCATAGCCATCGGTAATATTATTACCATGGCTTGCTCCGTGAGTCACCTAAATTATCTCAGCCATAAACTATGTGATTTGTAAACATTATGCCATACTTTTGTAATTATTCTACTATTAAGTAATTAATTTAAAGTAATAAACTATTTAAGTTATATATTAAGTGTTTTAATTACTACAAAATTACTACAATTAATTGGATAATTGAACAATAATATAAAACTTGGTATGCAAGAATAGTATTAGCAATAATTGTTATCATGGGAACTAGTTACAACATAGGAATTCCAATCATGCAATTATCTATTAAGAAACTACTAATTCAAAAATCATATCCTTGTACAAGAAGTATATAATAATGATTATAGTATGCAACTTCTTATACATCTTTGGTTGCATAAAACCAGTCTAATAATAAAATAAAAATACACATTAAATAATGATTAGATAATAAATATCTAATAAAAGTTTGTTTGTATATAATATACATTCCAACATACGATGTAATAAATCAAAAACAGATGTCGCTGTTATATATGTAATTAAATATATATATATTTTCATCCCTTTAAAATCCAACCTCAAAAACATTTAAGTGTCAGAAATTGGATAGTTGAAAAACAATACAAACAATTAAGGGTTTCATATAAATAATGGCTAAGGGCAAAGGCTTTTACAAACCATATTGGGCTTTATGTGTTTTGCGTGTGTTGCTTGTCCTTGTGCCTCATACAGGTTATATCCATCCAGATGAGTTTTTCCAGACGGTGGAGGTTTTGGCTGGTACTTAGAAAATGTCTGTCTGGTTTGTGATTACTAGTTTTTAAACATTTGGTTTACAGGGAGGATATTTGAGTTGGATGTTAGTTTACCATGGGAATTTAATGTCACTGCTCCTGTGAGGAGCATAGGACTTCCTTATTTCACTGTTGGCTTAAGCTATAAAATCCTACAAACCTTAGATATATTTACCAGGCTATATATGAATTTCAATTTCATAACTCCTTACTATCTTTTAGTATTCCCAAGAATGTTTATATGCTTGTTATCATTCCTAGTTGATTATTCATTGTACAAATTGTGTGTGATCAATAGTGAAAAATATAAATCACGTTTGTTGATATTGTCAAGTTCATTTGTTATGATTATATATGGGACTCGTACATTTACAAATAGCATAGAACTTATACTGTTCGCTTTGTTGCTTTATTATGTTGGGGAAAGTATGATATTCTCTAATGTTGTTCTAAGGCAGAGGGAATATATAAATAAAAGATATCATAAAACAAAGAATCCCGTTGAAAGAGCTAAATTCCATAAATTAAGATTGATTCTTACATCAGATTCTTATAGGAATTGCTTTCAAATTGCAACTATATCAGTATTGGGATTCTTTAACAGACCATCATTTTTGTGTTATGCTTTATTCCCTCTGTTCTTTTGGCTGTACAGAGGAATTGGTTATAGATCTGTGATGTCAACAGAATTCCATATAAGAATTATGTTACTTATTTTATCTTCTACTGTTACAATTGTATTTTTAATTTTAGTAGACTCATTCTTTTACGGGTACATTTCATGGGGCGAGATAGGAATGTTAGATGTATCCATAAACAGTTTTGTATTCCCTCCATTAAATTTTATTAAGTACAATATAGATAGTAACAATTTAGCTAGACATGGCCTACATCCAAGATACTTACATTTTCTTGTTAACATTCCTCTACTATTCAACGTGTTAGGAGTTTTAGCGTTATTCGGTATAGCCAGTTTATTAATTAAGTAAGTAGTTTGGTCCCTTTGTCTTAACACTTAACAATTAAATTTGAACTTGTTTCAGGCTTATAAGAGGAAAGTACAATCTACTACCAACAGTTAGAAGCATCAAAGGTTTGATGACTGCCTCTTTCGTAACACCAACAATATTATTATCCCTGTTTCCACATCAAGAATCCAGATTTATAATTCCCATTATTCTTCCGCTGGTATATCTTCACGCTTTCGACATCTACAAGGAACCAGATCACGCTTTGATCAAGGCTCCTAAGAACACCACCAACAAGAAAGATTTAACTGAGAAGAAAAGTAATCATAAAAGTCATTACTTACTTAAAGCTTGGTTCAGTGTGAATGTTTTATGCGTTCTTTATTTCGGCTTCATTCAGCAAGGCGGAGTTCTGCCTGTCACCGCTTTTCTTTCCAACGAAGTGAACGATAAACCCTATTACAACTATCACGTAGTAACTAGTCACATTTATAGCATTCCCCATGCATTCCTTTTACAACCTGACACTGAGAAAGTATTCTACAAGAACAAATCCAAGTACCAAATTTCCAAGCACGTTTTTACTTACGAAAGGGGTTCCAAGGATACGACGATCCTATTGCGCGACATTTCCGCAATTCTGAATACAGCCAATAACAAGGCACGACGATACCGGATGTTCCTGTTGATATCCGGTAGTTTACTTGAACAATTAGAGCAAGCTATGAAGAGTCGCGAGTTTTCGCAGATTTACATGAAGAATGTTTCGAATTTCTATCCCCACTTCAGCGCCGAAGCACTGCCAGATTTCTCTGAATTGATACACATCCTAAGCGTGATGGACATGAAAAGTTTAAAGTACGAAATGATCACGAAGTGCTTGATCAACATACTTAGATCATTCAGTCTGTCGGTGTTCGAAGTGAAATTAATCAAACCGCAATCGATTTAAAAACAATTTGTATACATTTACATAACATTTATTTGGAATAAAATGATTTATATCATCGACATACTTAATTTACATCAATTACCCAAGAAATACATTGGCCTCGTTAAGGTTGTTATACAATATACGTGAAGATTGTAATTTGCACTTCTTGTTATGTAACGGCGATGACGTTACATAAATGTTAATTATTGTTTTGATATAATAAATTTTTTTATTAAGATTAGGCCATTCATCTTCTCATTAAACGATTAATTTAACATTCAGTAGACATCTTTGTTTCTAAATTTAGATACACAAGTTTTATAGATTTTGTGTTATTACAACCTAAACATAAATTCATTTGTATATTTTGTTTTGTAACATTTAGATGATCCTTAAATACTATTAATTCGAACACTTATTACATAGACAACGACTTATTAGCTTCTATTTCATTGTTTAAAATTTAATTAAATACAATTAGTGACTCTCCCATTCGTAACAGTCTGCATAAAACCTTTTTCTTTTGTAAATATTAAAATTTAGTTCAGTTCCTCCAGAGCAAATTCTTTTTTTTCATAAATATTTTTCCATTTTTTTTTAATCTTTATTATTATTAATAATAATATATTTTATGATTAAGAAATCTCTAATTCGTCAAATTCTTTTGGTCAATTTTGTTTACAATACCAATCGATCAAAATATACTCGGAAGAAGACAAACCGTCTCGATTGGCAATAAAATCCATTCAATCTTAAATATCTCATCTCTCCGACGAATCACAGTACATTTAGTATACATTTATTTATTATAAATTACCGCGATTAGTACGTATGCGTAATCGATAGTATGCGAACTGTACTGTACTACAAACCAACATTTACTGAAACTTAGTGAAAGTCAAATCAGTTAGTAGTCAAATCATGATGATACAGTTCGCAAACTGTCAATGAGTATAATCATAAATATATTTATATTTAAACGTATATATATAGATATAAAAAATATTTAGTGTAAGTAAGTCATACAATGCACAAGTACAGAAAAATCAGTTCAGCCCCTATAAACTGATCGAAACAGACTTTAAATTTAGACTGCATGAACTGATGATGAGTATAAGCGAACATAAAAGAAGTCTAGTTTTTAGTTTTTTTTTAAATAACATCGAACACTGACTTAATTACTAACATGAATGCTTCGTGCTTCGCACTACAGAATTTGTTCTTTTCTTTCTTCTTTTTTTGGTTTCAAATACATTTACTTAGTAGGTAACATCTCTTTTAACATGTATATAACTGTAATTATATAAGCACTACTATTTTTATCCTTGACACACATAAATTACCAATGTTCTTTTTGTTCATAATTCTCTCGAGGAGAAAAATGTAAAGCAATGGAATGCTTAAATGCACATTCATTAATGTCAAAAATCCAACCCATCGATAGAAATTTGCTGATATAGCAATCGAATGAAAGTACTTTATCAGTACAACACAAATGAACGCATTTGCATTTTCTTATTTCTAAAATTGAAGTACGGTTTCACCTACAAAAGCTATATCATACGAATCCATCCACGGGTTAGTTTATGATATTGCACGATATTCACAATCTGTAAATCTCCAAAATCTGTTAGACTGTACTTGCCCATTATGATTCCTCTCAGGAACAAGGTAGATAATTATATTTAGACTTGCTTTTTGTAATAACTACGGTTCGGAATGGTTTGGCCCCACGCAATTAAAAATGACCGTAGTCCAAGCTTGTATTAATCATGCATGAGGCTGATGTTCTTGAGCATGCTACTGACTTCACTAGCGACGCTCTCAGAAACATTAACCTCATTGGATGGTTTACGGCCATATCTGCTAATCAATACCTCAACATCTTCTTCCTTAAGAGCCAAACCGGACAGTCTGTCAGGCAAGTGCTTGTCAACATTTAAAATCGACCAAAATTCTTTTTGTATATCAATAACCTCTTCAAATGCTTTATAAGCGTGCAACTTGGGCATTTCAATCTTGAGCCGCGGCAAAGGATCACCCAGTAATGCCTTCACGCAGAAGTTCATGGAATGTTTCAGCGTTGTGGTGTTATACCCACCTTCCATGGAAACGATCAAGCGGCCTCCTGCCAATGAACGCAACAGTTGAATCATGTGACCGAATGTTTCCGGATGTACCCTGTAGTTTCCCAGAAGATCATTGACGCCCGCATCAAATCCTGCTGAGACGATGACTAGTTCAGGGGCGTATTGGTAAGCAATCGGTAGAACGATCCTGCAGAACGCATTCAAATACTCTGTGTCGCCCATCTTTTCCTGTGCACGAGACTAATACAAACAAATGAATAATTTAAAAAAAAAATCTATACGTTGCTATAGTTACCGAATTGAACGGAACATTGACGTTGTATCCTGTTCCGAGTCCTCTACCAGTTTTGGTGCTGGATCCGTCCTGTGTCGAAGGAAAGTATGTCCCTTGCTCGTACTTATGAATGCTAAGGTACAGCACTCTTTCCGTGTCATAAAATATTTTTTGTGTGCCGTTGCCATGATGAATATCGAAGTCCACGATCAATATTTTTTCCAGATTAAATGTATCAAGAGCATAACGTGCAGCAACAGCTACATTGTTGAGATAGCAGAAACCAAGGGACTTACTTGGTTCTGCGTGATGACCTGGTGGACGTACAATAGCTACACCAGAAGCAAAATTGCCGGATAGGACAGCATCTGTTACGGATAACACAGTGTTGACAGCTTTAAGTATGCTGATCTTGCTTCCCTTTGGATTCCAATACATGTCGTTGCTTTGCGCCGTTGGGACATAACCCTCCACGGTCAATTGAGTAACGTACGAAGTGATATGCGTCTTCTTAGCCCACTCTTCGCCACTCAACTCTGGTATCTGTCAAAAATACATGTATTAATACAATGAAATAGCATTAAAAATCAATGAAAATACATCAATTTTCACACATCGCTTGTCCAGTTCTAATTCCTTGAATCTCTCATACACGGCTTGAAGTCTTGCTGGTGTTTCAATAGCATTACTCTCATCCATATGCAAACCCATGTCATCATCGTAACCGTAACAAACCTTGTTACGTTTAAATTCTCCGTAATCTTCGAACAAATTAAAGAATAGCACAAATCTGGATTACGCGAGTATTAAGTAACTTACATTGTTTCAAATCTTCAATAAAATTGGAGCACTTTTCATAGACGGCAGCTGACATCACGGGATAGCAATTGCGAGTTTCGAAAGGAGGAGTGAACTCCTTTCCGAAATATTTAATAACAACATGATGGATAATGTCCTTCATGCCGGAGTCCTCCAAATCGTATCGGTTGTAGACTTTGAAGCAACCCCAAAACTCGTGTAGAACGCATTTTATGTTGTTTATCATTTGACGGACTTCTTTGTGAGCTTGTCCGAGAGGAGGCAGAACTGCTGGTCTATCATCCAGTAAAGCTCTGAGTGTCATTGATACACCTTCAGCCAAAGAAGGCAAGAAATATCCACCTTCTAAAATAACTGCCAACTTGCCTTCTGCTACTCCAGATAAAAGCTTAATCATGTGACCATAAAATCCAGGTGAAACGCACATCTCTCCCTAAAATATTTTGTGTTTAATAATATAATGAATATGTATTTCCCTCCTCAAGTTATGACGTGCTTTTTACAAATAATCAATTTTAACAAAATCCGAATTTACAAACTTAAAACAAATTTATGAAATTGAATGAATCGCATGATATAAGCAAAGTGAATATAAGCGAAAGTGATCCCTTCATAAGTTATCCAAAACAATCGTTAATTAATATTTTCATATCAATATTGGTTATTCAACCCTCTCTGTGTCAGTGGTTCCACACAAAGAATAATTTATTTCCCAGTGGTTTCGCAGTGGAACCACATTCATTTTCAAAAACTAATCAGAAATAAAATAATTTGATCATGCATTCATTCGTAAAATATTTCATCAAACAAAAATCAACAGATTTGACATAATTAATCTGGGCAATAAAGGGTTAAAAAGGCCTTTTGCAACTGCGAAATGTGTTATATAAAGATCGTTAGTTGTATTGTAAACGTGCCAACCTTTTCATCGCCTAGTAAACAGTCATAACCAGCGGAGACTAAGACGAATTCTGGATTAAACTAAAAAGAAAATAACGAAATAAAAATAATGTACCTCTGGGCATCCTATGCAAGCGTCGTATCCGGCAGAAAATAATATCATATCTGCCTGGAACTAAATTCAATTTCAAATTAGACAAAATATTGAACTTGAAAACTAAATTCAATCAATTCAAAAGAATTGCACACTAGATAAACAATGTTTTGAAATTCCTATTGATATTAATTGTACAAAAAAATACATACTTCATAGGCTATGGGCAATAAAATATGAGTTAGAACTGCCATATAATCTGCATCGCCTAGACCTGTAGCATTCAAGGGGACATTTATGTTGTAACCAACACCAGGTCCTTCGCCGATATAGTCAAATGAAGATTCACGCAAATTGGGCCAAAACAACCCATTCTCATAACGATGGATTGAGAAGTAAAGAACCCTAAAATATTGTTAAAACCAATGTAAAAGAATGCTATAAATTGGATAACAATGTTACCTATTATCCTTGTAAAACATCTGTTGGGTTCCTTGTCCATGGTGAACATCAAAATCAATTATCATTATCTTCTTCAATTTCTGTGTCTCCAAAAGGTAATGAGCTGCACAACCCACATTGTTGATGAAGCAATAACCATTAAAGTTATCCTTTTGAGCGTGATGACCTGGGGGTCTAACTATAGCCAAACCATTTTGGATAACTCCCTCAGCAATATTTTTGACCAACGATAAAGTCGAATACAACGCAGTTAGTGTACTGTCATATGTATGCTGTAATCAAATTAATAAACGCATAAAACATAAGTAAAAAGATAAATTGGATTTCTTTGACGTCGCCAAATTTTAATCAGCCAATAATCCAGTTTTATGTAAGAATGTTTACTTTCATTACAATTATCAAGAATTTTAAGAAAATTAATAATTAAAAAAAAATAAATAATTATAGCAAAATTGTATCCAAAATGTATTTGCATACCTCATTAAAATAGATGGCATCATATTTAGAGGCCACCTTTTCTGTTTCCAGTGGATGGAATTTTTCACATATGTTCTTAAGCTTTTCCAGCTGGGCAATAACAGTTGCTGGTAATTGCTTATCAAATTTCCTCAGAACATCAATGAGCTTGCATTCATCAAATAAACCCTGTTCCCTTATACTGTAATTCATAAATTGTAATATAATAATCAATAATTACATTGAAATCACAAATTTACCGTTGGATGATTGCTGAATATCTGTCAGGATTCTCTGGGTATCGAGAATCCCAAACACATTTGTGTCTCAACATGTCATTATTGTATATAACCCCTGTTGGTTTCCGTACCATCCCATCACATGAAGTTGAGACCTCATAGTCATCCACTAGACAGTTCTCCAACTCCATATTTGTTTCTGGAGAGTTCTGCTTCATTCGCTTCTTGAAGTCTCGCAGAGTCTCCTGCAATGCACACACATACATCCAAATCCAACTAAATTAAAAATAATCAACAGCAATAAAAATATGAGAAGAGGCAGTAACATAAACATAAATATGTAAATACTTATTGTCTTACACATAAATATTTAGTAATACTATATGTTTATTTATATGTGTTGAAAGCAGATATGTTTAAAGCTCATATGGTAGATTTGCCAACAAAAATATGTTTACCCTTGGAACATTGCTATCGCCTGCACCTATCTCTGGCATGGGTACTGCTGCAGAAGCTGGATCATTGGAAAACAAGAAAGAAAAAAAAAAGAAATAAAATTTGTTGTTTAGATGGATTGTGCAACCCTGATATTATTGTATGACATAATGCTTTTGTAACGCCTACATGTTTTTATGCATAATGATGAATAATAATAAAAATATTGTACTAAGCCATATGAAACATGTATTGTAAATACCAGGGTAACAATAGGTGGAATATGGTTGTTGTGTATGGGAATGATTTAGGGGTACTATGAATTGGGTCTAGTGCATTAAGGCTAATGGCTCCAATCAATCAATACGCTAATATCTTTTAAAGACGTATACATCTCCTTGTGAAATGATTTGGAGGAGCGTTTGAGAAATGCTTGATTAAGGGTGAAGTGAAATACTTAAGGGACTGCCTCACCGTTATCGCTCATATTGATTTGTAGGTCTGCAATGGCCTGCAATAGGTTTTTTCACTGCACCAATGTCCCTATACGTCCCTAGCGCTCCACGACCAACAACCGACTGTTGCCCAGTGTTTACATAAATCACAGGACTGTGATTTGCGTACGAGTTGCGCAGTTAAATCAGGACGACGACCATGTTTACACAATGCAAGTCGACGATACCAGACTTGCAACAGTGTGTGCAACCCCAGACGAGTTGAGCTAGGTGTATCCCTAGGTCAAACCACCCCCGGAGAATGCGTTACTTGGAAACGGAAAATCAATACGATTCACAAACGCATGCATGCATCCCCTTTTCACCCTCTTTTTTTCGAATATACCATTCAAATCGCATGCGCTAGTTGACCGAGCTCGTATACTTTGCGTGCGTTCCGCGGGCATCATCTGTGGCGCTGCATGATCTACGACCTACATAATTTCGAACTTTAAATTAACTATAAACAAGAGATATCAAATGGATTTACTAAACTAGAGGAATTACAATAGACTTCTTCATCTTAGTCGCATGATCTGCAGTACTCCGAGCTAGTTGACAACCTAAAATGTAGTTAAAAACCAAGTGATGTTGTACACATATTGTTCTTGTACAAAAGTTAAGAAAAACAGAATTGAAACAGTAATAACATTCTTTCAATTGATAAATGGAATAATAACATAAATGTACAATATATATATATATATATATTATTGGAGAACATCCATTTTTGTTCGCGCTCTTCTTTAATGCGCGGTAGATGCACCCTGACCTATATAATTATAAATTTTAAAATTAAAGGAATCGCTCTAAATATAGAATGTACTGCATCTCTTCAGTATCAGCATTATACTAGAACAGCTGTGGCTACATGAGATCTACAGAAGTAACAGTTATCTAGGACGATATGTTACCATAGGTGCACATATTTTTCTTGTACAATGGCAAGGACTTTACTTATAAGACAGTCATAGCATTCCACCATAGCAAATATGAAATGCCGTTGATGTATTCAAAATCTCAGCTTTGTAACAACATATTGTGCAATCAGTTATAACTAAGATTGGTGCTTTCAACATCAATTTTTGTTCTTTTTCATGTTTCAGATAGTTGTTGAGGAAAATTCACTTACCAAATACTTCAGACCTATTATTTTCTTCATCTCGTTGAATGTCTCTGTTGTGCAGATGATTCAAGCAGATGTTGTCATACTATTCTTCACGACGAAGAGGTCGACCAGTCGGATGCGCTGATGGATTGCAAGTGCCTGGCCAACTGCTGCAGATTGATGGTAGGCCGCACCGTCGCCCAGGCAACGTTTGCATGCACCCGGGAAATAAGCCGTCCACGAGCCCTGGCCAAATTCCCAGGTAACCAGCAGATTTTAAATAAATAAATCAATACGCATTGCAAATAAATATTTTTTTATTGCGCTTTGTGATCGTGCGACATCTATCAATCTGAAGGGTGAAATTTATTACCTAAAATTTATTTAAAAACTGTTTCAATCATTCAAATCCCTGCAAAGACTGTCCAGATATAATCATAACGAACACATAGAATCTAAAGATTTCATCGTTTCAAAATCATTGACATACTCTTAAGACTACAGCTTTTATTTTTGAAAGGAAATTATGAATTTGTTATATCAAAAGCGCTCACTATAGTGCGTGCATGGTGGGTTACATAACTATCGCATTAAATAATCCTAGGACAACCCTCCCCACGTTATACACTCTTGTATAATTGGCAGTATAGGCCAAAACAAATCATTCGCAGTGATCTCTGGCGTGAACTTCGTATCTGTTCACAACATTAGCAACTATTTATATGTTTGTAGTGATGTCCTGAATGAGTAGCATAGTTTAGAGATGAGTAGATTCTTTTTCGATCGATTCTTCGCCAGGCGGCTGTCGCAAAGGGGTTATTCCACCTCTTGGTCTGATCTGGCCAATGCCTTCAACACAAGACCAACCACACAACTAAATCTGAGCTTAGTCAAAGAGAATAAGGTATGTACATATGCTGTCTTACCAATATGTTTTAATTTGTTGCAATTTTAGGGTCTATTTGAAGTACCTGAATTGTCTTCATATGAAGGCTTTTATTTACTCAAGGATAGGTGTATTTCAGAAACAAATGGCCTCATCCAGGAAGCCATTAGTGAGAATCGGACACGGAAGATGGTTGAAATATTTGATGAACTCTCTGACAACCTATGCAAGGTTGCTGATCTAGCTGAATTTATTAGGCTGGCACACCCCAGTGGCAAATATAAACAGGCTGCTGAAATTGCTTGTGGTGCAGTCAGTGGGATTGTTGAAAAGTAAAACGAAGTTCTACAATTGCTTTATTTTCTTTTTAATTTTAATAATTTTGTTCCAGATTGAACACTCACAAGTCTTTGTATGATGCTCTGCAGAGGGTAGTAAAGGAAGGAGATCTAATTCCAACCAATGATGTGGACAACCATGTAGCCCAATTATTCTTATTTGATTTTGAGCAAAGTGGAATTCATTTGCCAGAAGCTGAGCGAAATAAAGTTGTTGCTTTGAATGACTCAATTTTGCATTTGGGACAGCATTTTGTTGCAGGAGCTGCCAATCCTCGTAAAATCAAAAAACAACAGCTACCTCAATATATACAACATGTGTAAGTCCAATTTCTAGTCATTTTGAAACTTATGAAATTAATTTTATTTCCTTTGTACAGATTTCCTGCAGATGGCGATAATGTGCTAGTATCTGGTTTGAATGCTGAATCTACAAATCCTGTGGCTAGGGAACTGGCATATAGAATTTACTTACATCCTGATCCTCATCAAGATTATTTATTGACAGAATTGTTGAAAGCAAGACATGAGTTGGCTGTCATTTGTGGATTTCAGACTTATGCTGAGAGAGCTTTAAAGGGAAGCATGGTGGAAACGCCAAATACTGCAATGGATTTTTTAAATTTGTTGTCTACAAATTTGAGGGAAAGGGCTGAGAATGACTTCAATGTAATGGCTATGATGAAAAAAGCTGATAATCCCCAGTCTGGTGCACTCTCTGCTTGGGATATACCATACTTCACACAAAAGTACAAAAAAGAAAAGTTTAAAGTCGCTTCAAGTGAATATTCGCCATACTTCTCGCTGGGTTCGTGCATGGAAGGATTAAATATATTATTTAATAGACTATATGGGATTAGCTTAGATAATAAGGAAATATTTAATGGTGAAGTATGGACGTCTGACGTGTACAAATTGGCTGTGACTCATGAAACTGAAGGATTGCTTGGGTACATTTACTGTGATTTTTATGAAAGGGATGGTAAACCAAATCAAGACTGTCATTTTACTATTAGAGGCGGTAAACTGATGGCCGATGGTTCTTACCAGTTACCAATTGTTGTACTTATGCTGAATCTTCCAATGCCTAGATGGTCTACTCCTTCATTACTAACACCTAGCATGGTAGATAACCTGTTCCACGAAATGGGTCATGCCATGCATTCGATGCTCGGCAGAACTCGATATCAGCATGTTACAGGGACGAGATGCAGCACGGACTTTGCCGAAGTACCATCGGTATTGATGGAATTCTTCGCTAGAGATCCAAGAGTGCTAAGGACTTTTGCTAGACACTTCCAGACAAAAGAGGCAATGCCTGAAGATATGCTCCAGAGGCTTTGTGCATCCAAGCACCTGTTCACGGCTAGTGAAATGCAGATTCAATTGTTCTACTCAGCTCTAGATCAGAATTATCATGTGAGACATCCATTGAACGGTAACACGACGGACGTTCTGGAAGCCACGCAGAATAACTTCTACAGTTTGCCTTATATAAAGGACACAGCATGGCAATTGCGGTTCAGCCATCTGGTTGGTTACGGCGCTAAATATTACTCATATTTGGTTTCCACTGCTTTGGCCTCTTGGATCTGGCAGACCTATTTTGAGGCGGATCCGCTGAGCAGAACGCAGGGCGAAAGGTATAGAAGGGAGTGCTTAGCTCACGGAGGTGGAAAATCACCATGGAACCTCGTCGCAGATTTCCTCCAGAAGGAGCCTCTACCTAGTCACTTGGTCGAATCTATAATACACGAGGTCGACTCCAAAAACGAACTGATGGAACAGGTCGCGAAAATATACAAAAACTAATTAAAGTCCAGATATTTTTTTTATTTATAAAAGAATCCTCTCAGAATATAACATGTTTCAGACCGACGACATCGAAAACGCAATTGTTTCATATTTACAAATATAGTTGTTACATACAAATAAATTTACTTTTATTATTTTTTTTTTTTCTCCAAAACCTTAAAATAAAAGTTTCAATACCATCTTTTTACATCGTCTTCAAAGTATCTTAAAACTGATTGAACCTAAAGAAATAAATAAAAAAAAGTACATGATAAATATTGTTATTTGACAAACAATGTCTTCCACAGAAAGGAAATCGCAACGCAATGCAACGACAGAAGAAAAAAAAAACGAACAAAGTGAAATACACGTATCACTACAATTTTCAACCGAAAATTAATATAAACAATTCTCAATAAAGCAGAATGAAAATTTATAGACTAGATTGGCAACCTAAACCTCTATTGTCAATCAGAGAGAAAATAATATATAATTAAATATTGAAACGATTAAACTTGGAAAGAAACTTGTTAAGTTTTCCTTATGCAACGTAGTTATATTGATTGGGATTATCCTTGTCACGCTCCATATAATCCCTGTCGATTAACGATTCAATCCTCTTCTTCAGATCAGCAGGCTACAAAATAAACAGATATTAATGATTATCAAATATTTGTTTCAATGTTAACAAGTCTTTACCTTAACAGGGAATTTGAGTTGTAAATATAATTCACTAATTAAAAGATTATGGCTCAAAGTTTTCCTCATCTTCATAATTCTTACTATAGCTGCATCAATTTGATACTGTCGATCTTGATATACTCTTTCTTCAGTAGCCTTCTGCTCTTCCGTCTAAAAAATAAAACAAATATCCCAAATTAATATGAAGATTTACATCCAGCATTGATTAAATTATTACCGTTTCTTTCATCTGTATTTGATTGATCTTAATGCGATAAAGTTTATTTACAAACTCATTGTTAAAATTAAATTTATCCAGAATCTCGATGTCCCTTCCTCTTGGTGTTTTGTTGAGAACTCTAGCTTTGCCACATGCCAAAGATTGCAATGTACGTTTCAGTTCACCATCTTCGATGTTCGTGGCCGTCTTAATATCATCAAAAGTCAGTTCATCAGATAAATTAAATAAGAGAAGAACGAGAGATTGAAACAACGAGACTACGAGTTCTTTTCGGCCGGACTTAAAGCGTGCCTTTAACACGCAATAACCGAGTGTTGGTTGCCATTGAAGTTTTCTTCCGCTATGCTTACTCAAATAGAATTTGTTGAAAACCTCCTGAAGTTGTACCATATTTTCCGGTATATTCACTTCCATTGGAGTGTATGTTGGCCAATAACCCATCGTCAATATATGGACGGTCATCTCCAATGATGACAAATCGTTGTTGCTGTTACCCACATAATGTTTAAAAGCGACGACAATATCTTTGCTTAGTTCCATATCTTTAAACATTCCCTCAAGTTTAGACGTGAATCCTCCTCCGCATTCCTGTTTCAATTTACTCAACATACTCTTCTCAGCATCGACGCTGGCACTTTTTCCGACCAACAATCTTTTAGCCAAATCTTTTTTATAAAATGCCTCAAACACGTCCTTGCCATGTATGAACCTGAATAGTACCATGATCTTGTCTAAAAGTCTTTCAAGTTCCTCCTCAGTGGCTTCTTTGTTGCCAGCTCTGAGTTTCGAGTCCACAAATTTTGCTGAAAAATACAATACGCATTAGAATTATTTATATTTTAACACTAATTTCATCAATTTACCTATAAGCTCAGCTGGTTTATTCGCCCTCTGATTAATATAATATTCAAAAGCCTCTTTCAAGGAATTACTAAATTTCTCATTCTTGTTGAAACAATTAGCAACGACATTATCCATAGTATCTTTAAAGTCGAGCAGCTCTTGTACCATTTCTTTGTCCTTCTCAGGATCAATGACAATGGTGCGTCCGCGCTTCTTGATATAAGCATTAAATGAAACGCATAACTCCGAATGTCCATTCTTAACTCGACCGAAAAGCACGTAAAGAAGACTCAAATCTGCCAATCTGTTTCCCTCGAGTAGACCATCCAATCCTTTCTGAAGAATATTATTAACATGTTCGCTTAGAAGCTGCTTCTCAATGTTGTGGATAAGTTGATATTTGGTGCCCGAATCCAAATAGTGTAAAACTCTTTCATTTTCTTCCAAAATACGTTTATCCACATGCGACAAATATTCGGGGATCTCCATTTCTTGCATCAGTCTTTGACCTTCGGATGCGTAAAGACGTTCAGTAGCTACTAAAAATTTCTGTTCAAATGCTTGATCATAGATTTGCAAATCAGTGAGCATTCTCAGCAAAGATTTAAGTAGGGTACGATCCACAGCATCTCCTTGCCTTTCTTTCTCAATAAGCATTAACAAACCATCAACAATTCTTGTCTGGACAAGTGTGTACTGCAGTATATACTGTCGAAATAACTCTAAGCCCATTTCCCATATGGAATGAATGTGTGGTGTTTGCAAAACATAAGTGCGATCCAAATAGAGAAAAATACTGCGTATCATGATCATCTGATGACAATGATTTTGCCATGTATCATTCATTTTCTTTAAGAATAAAAATCTGTCCATAGATTCGGCTAAAAATTGTTCTATATTATCACGTACATGGCTTTCTGTTAACAGCCTTAAATTATTATATAAAGTGTTAGCCATTTTGTGGTTGCACATATTTTCAACGGCCTGGTACAGCTCTTCCAGAGAATAGCAATTCGGTTTGGACTTCTGGATGTCCAATACTGCACTTTTCAACTTATCCCATGTTTGCTCTCGATAATCATCAGGAAGCTTAGGCTCACCTAAGAATAAATTGTTTAGTTTCATGTTTCATACATCTATATATATATAATACTCTCAATGTTCACTTACTTTTGAGGTTCTTGATGACCAGCTTCTTGGTGGCTGCTGGCTTCAGGTTAAGAATATTCAAGTTTCTGTTGAGTCCATTCTGGGTTACTGCCGAGAAATTGGCCCTCTTATGAGTATTATCACTCATATTTTCAATTTCTGCCTGTGTATCTCGTTTTCGTTTGATACCAGAGTACGAATGTTCGTTGTTGCCACCTCTGTTAGGACCCCTGTCCTCACTAGTTCTGCTGTGCCTTGACATAGAAGCACATCACAAAATTATATAAAACATAAAAATACACACAAGGTATGTTATTTCCAACGCATTCAGCAATCAAATACTCTTCACGATCTTTTTTTTTTGCCTCTTCCTTCTTCTTTTTTTGCACTATCTTTAATCCACAGCTTCTCACTGTCAAGTCTGAGATTAGTACTCGACTGAGCCGTGTGTTTTTCTACATAACATAACCAAAACACTTCAGCAGGCGGCAAATTCAAAATAAATAACTACATTTTCATAAGCTGAACAAACGTTAAATCGAGGAAGACCATAAGCTCGGTTTCATTTTCTGAAGTAAAAACTGAATGCGCTTTTACCTGGCTTAAAACTTCCTGCAGATCCTTGAAGTACCCGGGTCCGAGCTCTAAGAGTACTTTACTTTCTACTTAGTTTTCTTTTGGTGCTTGCACCAATCACCTTACGAATGTTATAGTTTAATAAGCAACTGATGCCTCCCTTAGAGATGCAACATATCATTACGTAAAACGCAGCATCTCCGTTCGAAACACTACTATTTACAACTATTTTTAGACGAATTTATTTAATTTTACTATCGATTAATACGAGACAATGGCGAATTAAACAAATGACCGGATCATTTGCGTTTTCCCGACGAGACATTAACATGACAGCTGTGGGTTACGCATATTATGTCTCTCTTGTACATACATATACATATTGCAATAATATTGACGTTTTTTGATGTCCTGAACGTGGATAACACTAGATTTAATCCAGACTTGGTCCTTGCCTTTATCCTACATTAAAATGCATGGTTACCAATAAAATTCATTTGATCTATCCACTTATAGTTTTCATTGCTTTATCCTTAAATCCATACTGTTTTGCAAATTAAAAGCCCCTCATGAATGCAACTTTTACATATTCAAAACTTCTGAATCAAGGATTTGGATCAAACATGGATTCGGAAGCATGCATTCTTTATGTTTGTTTATAACTAAATAAACGTACTTTTAATAACATTTAAAATAATCCATGCACTGGGAAGTGGATCATTGCAGGAATCTACGCAATTGCCGGATATTATTATATGGACATGTGATTCGCAATTTATCCAGCTAATTGCGATGCTTAACTCACTAGTACTTGAGAATTTGAAGACAAGAATATACACGAGTTGCTCCAGATCACGATTCAAGTTTCATCTTCCAAAATAAGAATTACATTTTAAAATTTCAGACAATTTTTGTTCATGTTTCATCTTCAATCTATATCCTGCTGATATTGCTTTCATTAGTTATCTTATTGAAAGCAGATAATTGGTACTTACTTCCTTAAACACTAGCATCCTTTCACTCCCAAATGATAACACGAATACCTTACAAACCTGTAACGAATGGAGAGGTAACAATAAATAACTTCCATTTTTTACTAAAACTATGTTTGGTAACTGGTGAAAATTGGGAAATTCCTTACGACTTGCGCAAGTATAATTCATATAAACTATTTAATTTTCTTGACAAAAATCGTAACCATCGCTTTACTGGTATCAGAAGTAATAGATATGATGTATTATAAGCCAGTATATACTGCTTTATATGATAAGAATTGAATTATATGTATCTCAGTTGTTGTCAAGTCTCATTTGCAATTGAAAGTGTTTTATTCACTTTTTTTTATATTTATAGTAGTATAACACGGTTAATACGTGTTGTATGAAATCATGTTATACGAAAATTATTACGGATTTAGCATTGAAGACAAAATGTCATGAAAACATAGTCAAAATAAATTGAATTTTAATTTATCTGTAACTACAATTCAAACAATATAACATCTTTGTTATATAGTTGATTTATAAAATTATTCGCATGTGTAAAATTCTATTAAAACATTAAAATTTAAATAATTCCCATGGATTCTCAACCATGTGAGAAAATTGTTTATTAATGTTTGTGTTTCTTTTAAAAAACCTCATATATTTTCAATAGAAATAAGAAAAATCGAATGTGAAATGAACAAATATATTAGTCAATGTTTGCTGATCTCAACACAATTTGGTTCTCAGACTAATTGTTTGCAGATAATAAATATATTTGCGAGTTGTACAAAAAAAACCGGTCATTCACGGTCATTTGATAACGTTTGTTTATTTTTTTTTGGACTCGAATACATAATGCAAGTTTTCATAAGAACATCAAGTTTATCGTTAACTGTGATAGAAATAGCATACGATTTTTCCTGGACTGTTATGAGAACTAAGCAATTTATTTCGTTTAAAGAAATGAATGCCAAATATCATGTTTTAATTGTATACAGTAAGACCTCGATTAGTGATTACGTTTCTAGACGACATACGCTAAACGATACAGCGTTAACCCTTTCAAGCCTATTGGGACAATATGTCCCACCAAAAGTATGTTAGTATTTTCATTTATATCTATTGGGACAATTGATCACATAAACGATGTCTGTCACACAATAAATAATTTATTTTTTTAAATTTTGGACATATATTAAGTCCCCAAAACATTATTTTAAATCATTTCCATTAAAATTATCGTTAGTCAAGGAAGCGCTAAACGAGGTATTGCTATACTTGGTCTCTTTATCCAATAAACTTAAAATCATAATTCATTAGGATATTAGAAAAAAAACTAACTTTGTATTTAGTTCATAATACGTTTGATATCATTCAAGTGAATGCCAATAAAAAATCGTTTTTTTTATTATTCTAAAGCTATTTACTATACATATCACGAAATGTATTCCATTTCTAATGAGTTTATTTAGTGATAGCTTTCTTTAGATCTCATCTAAGTCAATTGGTTGCCTATGGCCGACCTTGTCAATTTGTATTTTAGGAATATTGTAACTGAAGAAGTCCCGCAGTTAAGAATATTTAGTGTCAAGGAATATATATTTATTTCCTTGTTCAATTAAATGAGAGTAAGAATAATTCTTAACTTGTCTTCTTCATTTAGATTGTGCCAATTTACGTGAAAACTTACCAATTCTAGCAATAAAATCACATAATGATGTATCATACAAATAGCTATAAATAATCATTGATACGTTACCTGTTCGTCGATTATTCAGGAACATTTACACAATAATGTGTATAATAGTTTGAACAATCTTACCAAATTGCATAGGTTTAAAAATAATTTCTAGTTTATTTTTATTAAAGATAAAATCGCAAAGAATACTGAAATAACCAAAGTTATTGTTTGTCTTGTCTTAAAGTATTGTTATATAACAACAACGTGGATCAATTTGTAATCCAGACAAAAATGCCCACTTTTAAAGCTCTAACAACTGTTTTAGAAGTTACGTGAAATCATTCACATATTAATAACTTGCTAGTAAATAATGTATAGGCTGAAACAGCTATATAAAAATATAACGGTTATAATTATATAACAAGATGTACCTAAAAAGTAATGATAATTACCTCATTTTCTTTGCCTCTAAAACTTGGAATTCCTAATCGTCAATTCCAATGAATTCCTAAACAAATTACCTAATTAACAATAAATCTAACCTACAAAGGAAATATTCAGGATATTATTCAAATATGTATTTTTTTGTATGCTTTTCCCAAATGATATAAACCCAGAAAATTATTATATCCATATAGGAAAAAGCTTGAAATTATTTATAAATATAAATTATTTTTTGTTTAATTAAATAGACTGGCCATTTTCATTATCAGTACTATATTACCAATTTAGGTTTATAAAATAAATCATGAAATTTGTAATATCCTAATTTAGAAAGATTCTTTAAAGATTGTGCAAAAATATAAGAATATATTGATTAATTTCAACTATATCCAAATTACAATATATGTTATAGTTTTTAGGAATCATTCAAGTGCAATCAAGAAACCTTTATCTAGTTATATCTAGTATAACTTAAAGTATTCTATAAACAAAATTAAATTGGGATTCCGTACCTATGATATACAGCTGATATACCTACAAAGGAGTTATAGCTGTCATTGTATGACAATTCTAGGCATTAATCAATAATCGAAATACAGTAATTATATTAATTATATTTAATTAAAGAATGCACAAATCGTGAATTGTTAATTTAAAATGTATTGTCTCCATATTTAAGTCCAATTAATAGACAATATTTGTTTTATTAAATTAATTATTCTGTTTAAAAATAGTAGTAACTTTGATAATATATACATAATAAATATTTTAATATATCAATGAATACTTTTGAAAGTTATATTAGTAAACAACATATATTTTCAATTATATTTTAAACGTATTTTTATTTGTAAAACGTATAAATTGTTTGATTTCTTTAATTGTGATATGATTGTTATAAGCAACTATTGTATGCAGCTATTGGTTGCTGAATCCATCCATTTTCAAAAATATCCAATCATGATATAGTTGCAATGTATCATGATGTTATATAATTTGTATGCAACCAAATAAGCATTAGTAGAATTTAAGTTGGTAAACGTCTGCCAAGTCAACATCGAGAGTTAATCTATTTATGTTTTGACATATGTAAAGCATATACATAGTAACTAAGATAGTAAATAAATTAAGTCTCTTAGTTGAGAGAATCATTTTCCAAAGAAGCAGGAGAAGTTAAATTGTGTGTTTATATTCTCATGATACATATATTGTAGGCATAAATGGGTCCTTCAGAAGAAGTGTGCAAAAGCCTTGTTAAATGGCTACAGTCCTTGGTTCCAACCCATACAAGAACACTATTGGAAATCAGTGATGGTGTTGCCATTCTTGAGGCACTACTAAAGATATCCCCAGCGAATTTCTACAAGTTGCAAGGCAAAATGAAAGTGGAGGTTGGAAACAATTGGAGACTTAAGGTTAGCAATTTGAAGAAAATCAATGAAGCTATTATTGAGTATTACCAAGATGTACTGAACTTCCAACTACTAGATATTGGAAGACCAGACTTGCAGAGTATAGGGGAAAGGGGAGATTTGATTCAGGTAGGAAAATTGTTAAGACTTGTATTAGGATGTGCTGTGAACTGCGAAAGGAAGAAGGAATATATAACACAAATAATGGCATTGGAAGAATCAGTGCAGCAGTGTATTATGCATGCTATTGTGGAACTACAGGAGTTAACAGATAGCCCAGATGGAACAAGTTTGAAACCTTTTGATTCAAAGATTATTAGATTGGAAACTGATTTGGAAGGTGCTAATGAGGCCAAGGATAGGTTTGCCCAGCAATGTCACAACTTGGAAGCTCAAGTGCAGCTTTTGCAAGAGGAGAAACAGGCTCTGGTTGCTGACAATGAATTGCTGGCTAATCAGATTAAGGAGCAACAAACAACAGATATACCAAGAGGATTGGAGAGCAGAAAGCAATTTGATTTGTTGAAGGAGGAGATTTTTAAATTAGAGACTATCAGGGATGATTATGCTGCAAAAGTTGTAGACCAAGAGAAACAAATACTAACATTGCAGGAGAAAATTGCAGAACTTCATTTAACTGCAGAAGCTACATCAAAATTGAAGGATGAAGTAGATGCTTTGACAGAATCTGCAGATAAAGTGAAAGCTTTGGAAATCACAATTAATTCATATAAGAAGAAACTTGAAGATTATGCAGATATAAAGAAGCAATTGAAGTTGTTAGAGGACAAAAGTGATGAATATTTGAAACAAAATCTTAAATATGAAGAAGAATTAAAGAAATACCATATGTGGAAAAATCAGTCTGAATTATATAAGTCAGAGGTGAATGATTTGCAACAAAAATTGGAGGAATCTTTGCAAGAACTGCACAAGGTTAGATTTCAACATAAAACGTTGCAATCTAAAATAGCGGCACTACAGGGTGAAAAAGAGAGAACAGCAAGACAAAGAGACATGTTGCGTGATGAAAATGAAGAGCTAAGACTAGCAACACAGAAGGAACAGGATGGAGCAGCAATGTCTCAAGAAGTGACGCAAATAGAATTAAAAGATCGCTTAAAATTATTGGAAAAAGAAAATCGTCTCTTGCGATCTAGTAATCATGATGTGCATTCTAAACAAGTTCTTCTTGATGAACATTTAAGTAGAATTGAGAAATTGACAGAACAAAATAGGGCTGCTAATCAGAAGATCATTGAAACTGAGGCTCAGCTGGAAGAACAAAAAACTGTGAACAAGGAATTTAAACAGAAGATAGCTCATCAGCAGGAGGTATTAGAAAGGAATACTGAGAGGGCTAGAGAGGTTGCAAGTGCTCTCCAAGGTACAAGCAATGGCAACATTGATCCTCTGCGTCATAACAACATCAAGGAGGAAGAAAACAGGTTAATAACAACTTCATACTACAGACTAGGTCTTCACTGTCACAGAGAAGCTGTTGATGAAAGATTAGCTTTACTGAGTGCTGGTCAAGGTCAATCATTTCTCTCTAGGCAAAGGCAACCTATGCCTAGGAAACCTGGCACACCATTCAAATCAAAATGACCACAACTACCAGCATGCAATAAATTGAATCCAAAGCCATTATGAATTATAGTTTCTGTATAAAAATATGAACATTTCTATTTATCCCATTTTATTTAATTGAGAGTTTAACTAGTAATAATAATATATGTATATACAATATCAACGAAAGTATATATTTATAGAATGAGAAATAAATTATGTTGTTAATAGATATAAATAAAAAATAAACCAATTTTAAATAAACATATATGTTCTCTTTAGTGTATTTATATGATAATCAATTGAAATTACACTTTTTTTCAACTGAACTAAACAATTGAAATGAACATACCTTCCACTCTTCCATATTCCTCACATTTATTGAAATTATAAGGAAAACTGTTACACAAGGACATCATTTCCACCAGCAATTCTACAGGAAATGGTACATAAAAACTGCAATTGAATCTGATGAGTGCAGTGTACTTACTAAGTGCGTTTAATAATGCTCAACACATTTCGCTTCAACGTAGGGAGCAAACGCAAGAGCGAATCTAATTGATTGATAATAGCTGCAAATTTTATGTAACCACAGTCCTCTATATATAACTTTCTTTATTTATACATTTTTAAATGAACAAAACTATCTGTATTAATTATATTGAATAGTTTACTATTTGATATTCAGAGAGACAAATAATTTCATTAAAAAATAGTTTTTTTTTACCTTCAGTCGCTCATACAACAATGATTAAAGAAAAATTATTTATTAATTAATCAATGCTTTTGGGGATGAAACTAATAGTCAATATTTATTTTGTAATGTATATAAGAAAAAGTCATTTCTATACAGGATAAGTCTATTCTCCCTTTAATTTCAAACTACGGACGAATAACTTAACTTTTTAAGTATTTAAAACCCTAATCTTAGTGATATTTAAAATCAACAGATGAATACTTAATAAAATAAAGACAAGCTAATATTTTCTTAAACAATACTGCGGCCAATACCCCTTTGTATATTTATATACTGTTTTGTATATAATAAAATTCATAATTAAAGCATGTTTTTATATATTGGTTTGTTATAAAATTAAATAAAATTTTAGGCATATATATGCGACAGTGTTCAATAAGTTGCATAATGCGATTATGTATTATAGGATATTGTATAATATATCAATTACTCACTTCTCTATTAATATTTAGAATTTCCGCCTTCGTTTTCAAAAATAGATTTTTTTAATGCGAAATAAACAAACAAAAATAACTCTAAGAATAACTATTCTCAGATTAAGCAAAATAATTTTATTAATTGGTTAGAATTGAATTTGTTGATAAAAAAACTTGATTACTAAGTTAAAATCATTTAATTGCAATTCATTTATACTAATCACGGTTTGTTTTGCATTCAAAAATATTGCAGTTGCGGCGACTGTACAGGGCTTCAATTGTTATTCATGAAAATTTAATCTATTCTCTGTTGCCAATTGCCATAACTAACCAGCAAGTGTCTTCGAGCACATAATTTGCTGGTGATCATACCAAGTGCTGTACAATAGCATGAAGAGCGGTTTCTCCCTTCTCGAACCTCATTGCATTTGGTGTTTATATTGACCTCTTTCGAGATTCGAATTACTTTTTGTTTGGAGATTTGTTTATGTTTACTTTATAGCTATTGGTTTACTAATGGTAAATTGAAACTGTCGTTCAGCATTGTTTTCCATAAATAAATGACTCGTTGCTGATAGTGCCGAAGCTGGAACAATCAAGAAACGCGTTAAATTGCTAGAGATTACATTTGCATTCGTAAACATTGATTGCATTGTTTTGAATCCCGACACCTCGACTGGTCTTATTTAATAGAAGAGAGCGGGCGGTATTATAATGTAAACATTGGATGTAAACATAAACAGTGCACGCTTTTGTTCTCATAAACAGCATTTGATAATGGACATTATATGCATGAATTGACTATTATATAATTATTGTGGAACTGAGATGAAATTCCGAAACCGTTGGAATTAAATAATTCTTCGGATGTCTATTTTGTTTGTATATATGTGTCCTTGTCTTATATACCTAAATAATTGATTATTATTAGTTGGCTATTAAGGTACCCCTCCCTTAATACCTAGGAATATAAAATGCACATGGATTGATTGCGCTGAATCCAAATGGAGGAACGCGGGAAGTAATTTTAAATAAGTTTTCGGAAAGGAAATAGCAATTATATGATTCGCTTAATGCCCAGTTCTGGTTAATAAGTGCATCAGCAAATATAACGTAAACCAATATGGAGTTGGTATAGTCTGAAACGAAGAAATTTAGATGTATAAAATGGTTGCATTGTAGCACCTGAAAATGTAAATGTGGAGGGATTGAGTGGAACATATTTCAGGGGTAGCCTTCGCGATCTCGCAGGAAATTTTACGCAGAATCAAACCGATGGCACTGTTTCCATTATTGTTATTATTACAAAACCGTATATTTCTTGTCACACAGAAGGTACAATTCGGTGCGTGAGTGAGATAGAGCTAGTTGTTGTGAAGCTGTTGATAATAAAGATATTCAATGGTAATCGATTATATTTGGCGTAGCTACGCGACCGGCTTTTCCATCGGTGCAGTGTCGTTAGTGGATGGACATATTGGTGGATACATCTCGCTACAAGGGTGAAGCGTAGGGCGTAGGGACACTTAGTACGGCAGGAAAACCAGAATCGGTTACTTCAAAATTTGAATTTGCCACATTTTGTTCGCGTGTGGAAACAACTATAGAGTACAAGAGTGTGTCGTCCGCGCGCCATTTCAGGTGATGCTGTTGCATATTGAAGACGCGCTCCGTTCCTCGAATCAGTAAAGGTTGATTTTAGTCTATACTTTCAGTAGTATATTTGTGTTGTTATTTATTTGTTTGTGTGTTGTGTTATTTGTTAAAATAGTGAGCTTTCCATCCTTTAGTGACTCGAAACTTCCCATCGTGCACTATTGGCTAGTATAGAGGTGGGGGAGAGCAGCGTTATAAAAAAGCAACGGTTCGCGCAACTGGCGTCATTCGCTTGTTGTGCAAGCTTAAGAACGTGCCATTGTGCAGTGCAAACCGTTGGACATTAGAGCGACTGTTTGTTGTGAGTTTGAGATTTTGCTTGACTAGCTATGAGCGACAGCCCTACTAAGAGCGAAGAAGAAATCACCAGGTAGGCTCATCCCGTCGTCTGATTGTTATGTCATTATTATTTTAACAATAGATTGCTCCATTCAACAGATTAGCTATACAGAGTCTACTTGAAGACGCTAGGAAGTTCCAAAGGCAGAGGAGCATTGACCATAAGGCAACTCGGATGAAGCCAAACTTACAAATGAACAAAAATTTTTTAAAGCGTCTATTGCAGAATCACGAGTATTCGAACGGAAGAAGGATGGCCCAGAGAGATAGTTCTATCCGTGGATCCAAAGTAGAGGAGAGTGAGGCTATGGACAATGTTACAGCGAAGCAACCTTCCAGACATCCGGAGCCACAATCTGTTGAGAAGGGAGATGAGCCGAAAGGCTCAACTGGCAATGGTGCTACTGTTGAACAGGAGGCATCAAAAGCGAGTTGCAAGGAAACTGCAACTACTTATTCAGTTGACGACAAAGACGATATACTAATCTCATTAGAGAAAGCTATCAAAGGTGAACCTGAAGAAGACGATTATGATGAGCAGGTTGATCTACAATTGAGCGTTGAAGATGATGCTGAGGAGTCAGTAGAGAAGTCATCTCCAACAAGAGAGGTTGACAACATGCATCACGATGAGACCACCCAAGACATTTCTACCCAGGTGAAGAAATTCTATAACGAAAGAACTGGGGATGATAAAATCATAGACCTAAGTGAAGAGGATAAGGCAGCCAGTAGTGCTGATACAGATGAACAGAAGGATGGATTATGTAATCCTACAGAAGCCAAAAAAGATGAGGAAGATACAGGTGATCTGCAACCATCTTCAATTATTATTCCAGAGGAGACTCGAAACACTGAAGCACTTTCTACCTTGGTAAAAAATTTCTACAATGACAGTACTGGGGATGATAAAATCATAGACCTAAGTGAAGACGATAAGGCAACCAGTAGTGCTGATACAGAAGAAAAGAAGGATGGATTTTTTAATCCTACAGAAGCCAAAAAAGATGAGGAAGATACAGGTGTTGCCATCCAACCATCCTCAATTGTTGTTCCGGAGAGGACTCGAAGCACTGAATACAGCTTAAAAGATAAGTCCTCTAAAAGGAAAATCGACGAAGACGACGATAATGATGATGACGACGACGATGATGATGACAATCTTGTCATCGAAATATCCGATAGCGACAGTGACAGTGAGACTTACAATGTCACTGACATTAAACGTGCTCGTACGTCACCCTCAGAAAATTAGATTTATTTATATGTACGTTATTTTTTTTTTATTTTATTTATATTTATGTATGATAATTCAGTTTGGTGTAGAAAAATATATCACTGAATAAGTATTTCATATAAGGCCTAAATGTTATAAGAATACACTATTACATTGGAAATGTTATTTGAGTTTACGAAAAGTAAACAAATCCCAATGTGTAGACTAAATGTTGTGTGAATGTTCCCCCTTTAATGTATTTTATTTTTGTTTAAATAATTTTTTTTTTCCAAAAATATAAGACTGAGGGGAGAGTAATACAAGTCGAAAGGCCATTCTATATTTTTTACGTGTTATTGTTTATATTTCTATTATTATAGTTTAGGTTTTTGTTAAATGTACCTGATACATTATTTGGAAATATATGTATTATTTATCTAATTGTATAAAATAAATATTTTATGTATTTATATTTTTTTGGAGTTATTTCTTACATACATCCTACATTTGTATCAGCTCTTCTTTACAACACAGCCGTTATTCAATTATATCACTAAAATCATCAGTTATATTGAATTCTAGTCGGAATCTTAAGTGTGAGTAATGCAATATACTTAACCTTTGAATTAATTATCTAATAATTGGGACACTAAAAATTCAGTATATTCTAAGTTCATTCTAGATTCTTCTTCGTTTCCTTCTTTGAGATACATTTATCCATCATCTTCTGACACCATTTAGCCTATCTCCATCATGTTAAAGTTTTGAAATTTAGTTAGAAATTGGGCGTCAATCTCTAGATTGTCTTTGTTACAATATCATCTATTGCTATGATTGAACATACATCATACAGGTATCCACATTCAACAAAAAAACTACCAACAATTAACATAGTTATGAATTAACATTATAAGGTGGAGTTTGAAATACTTCTTTTTTTTTGTCTCTGATTGAGAAAAACAAAGCGCGAAACTAAGTACAATTACTTTGGTAGTAATTCTTAATCATTTTTTAGATCAGTTTTTTTGCAATCTGCTCATTTTGTTTGTAAAACAACGAACTTTTTATGTTTAAACATTTGAAATTTTGTTTATCTCTTAGTCGTTCATTAATTGGCTTGCGAAGTGGGAGAGAAACATTATCAGTGGAGGCTACGCAATTTGCGTTATTCACTTCTTGTCCAAGCATAAGAACGTACAGTGCGAGAATATAGTTGACTAGAGATCTAAGTTCGAAATCATAAGGTATGTTCAACTCATATCTTACAAACCTCTGATAATGCAATTATGACAATTTAAATTTGATTATTCCATTAAAAATATTAAATAAACTACTTCAAATAATCTCTAGGAAGTTCTAAAGGTAGATTTAGATGAAGTCACATTTACATTAATGATATATATTTAATGTATTATAGAAAATGGGCCAGAGTGAGAGTTCTATTACAGTTGAGAGTAGTGATAATAAGGATAATACAAATGCAGAGGACAATATTCCAACAGACTTCTTTAAAAAACAGGAAGTTAAAGCCAGCAGTCTTATGGAGGTGGACGAATTGTTAGAAGCTCTTGATAAAGCCATTGCCGAAATTGGTGGTAAAGAAGACAAAACCATTGTTCCCGATGAAATCAACCATGCTGCAAATAGTAACAAAAAAGAAGGAACTATTGTGGATAAACAATATGGTAATGTTCCAAAAACATTCCATGGATGATTTTCCTCTAATCATATTTAATAATTTTCAAATATGTATTACTTTTCTACTATAATACGAGAAAAAACATAACTATTTCAAATATTATATAATTTTATTTTTCATTTATTTTAATTATAGAAACCTGATTTTGTACAATAAAATATAATTTTAAATTTACACTCATTTTATTTTACAAATTACTTTCCAGAGAAATTTACGCTAGTCGTTTAAAGGAGTGAGGCGGAGATAATAGATTTATAAGATACAAGACTTAATCTTTATTGAAGCTGTATCTCTGATGGAGAAGAGTCCAAGAAGATGAAGATGTTTCTTGTATTATTTATAACGGTTGCATTTGTAAGATCAGGATTATAATAATGATGATGATCAAGTTCTAGCTATATGAAATAGTAACGAGTCGAATATTGATCAATTCTTAGGGCTGATCTTCATTGAAGCCTATTTGCTGTAAATATCTCTGATCGAGAGGAGCAAGTCTGAGAAAATGAAGATGTTTCTTGATTTATTATTATTAGTCGCATTTGTAAGATCAGGATTATAATGATGATGATCAAGTTTTAACTATATCACAAAAACATTTATTGCAACAATAAAGTACCAAATTATAAAGTCAATAAAATAATAGAATGACAAAAATTAAATTAAACTGCTGGAAAGGACTATTGACCATAGGTCCACATAGCTCTTTCTATCCTACAAGATATATTAAATTACAAATATACGAGCATTCGGTTGCATAACTGATTCGTGTGTGGCGCTGCTATCTATACAATTCATTTAACTTTACAACCATTTACAACAGTGTGTGTGTAACTTTTGGGGTGGGTTTGGGGTTAGATAATTCGCACCAATTTGGTTAGTTCAGTAATTTGTAATATTTAAATACAACTAATTTTTAATGGAATATATGGAACCGTAAGTATAAACTATATATACAATGTACATAACCTTAATATTTCAATTTTGATTATAAATTTTAGATATAATGGAGCAAGTTGCTGTACACCGAAAACTCAATATTATTGGGTGGATATTACTAAGGATTTCTTAACATCTGTTAATGGTTAGTATTGAATGGAATAATATTGATTGGTCATTAATAACTTATATTCAAAGATCTTAAACTTGGGGAGCTCTTGCATGATTCTCTTTTCGGGCTTTTTGAGGCCATGTCAGCTATCGAAATGATGGATCCTAAAATGGATGCAGGTATGCTCTGCAATAGGGGGAATAAAAAAGCAAAAACATTTGATCAGTCAATTGAGGTAGCATCTATTATGAATCAAGTAATATTGTACTAAAATAAATATTATGTTTATAGGATGGTTCTTTGAAATTGAAAGATATAAGCAATGCAGATTTAATTGGAATTATAGATACAACATTTGCATGTCTTGTGTCTTGGCTTGAAGGACATTCCTTAGCTCAAACAGTGTTTACCAATTTGTACCTGCATAAGCCATATTTAATTGAAGATAGAGCATTAAAGGCATTTTGTTTATCTATTTACAAACTTCTAGAAATTATTAAGGAATATATTCATAAGTAAGTACACTTATTTTGTTAGGAAGTATTTTTCATGTAATTTGTAGAGCAATGGTCTGTGAAGAAGAAGACTTTCAATCAATGCAGTATGGGTACCATTTATATCCTGATATATCAGAGCAGAGAGCTATAGGAATGTTGCAAGAGGTTGAGGAAGATTTGCACAAAAGAACAAGAGCTAAACATAATGAAGTACAATCATCAATTGAGGTAAATCAATATTATTATTTTTGTAGTAATACTAATTGGGAATATTTCGTAGGTAGAAGAGATTGTTGCTTTATATTCTAGAATAAAGTTTGTTCGGGCATTGTATCAAATATTGTCAATATTTAGGCAAAGAAAAGATGACGTGCAGTCTTCTTCCAATGATGTCAACAAATTATTAAACCAAAAATTGAAAATAGCATCTGATATGCTTTTCGTCATGAACAAAACTGTGTGTTTGGGTAGCTACTCATCAAGTTCTGATTTATCTCCTGCTTTGGGCTTTGAACCATTGATTAATCAGAGGTTGCTTCCACCCACGTTTCCAAGGTATACAAAAATTAAACCAAGATCAGAGGCATTAGGTTATTTCGTGAATATGGTCGAAAGACTGAAAGGTCTTATAAACGTTCAGTCTATAGTAGCATACAATCAGGCTTTAGACTTTTTCATTGAATTCAGTAAGGAAAGTCCTTGTATTTTGTCGAGGTCTGCCTTGCAGTTATTATATGTAGGGAGTTATAGTATAATAATGAATGCAGGTTCACCTACATTTAAAGATATCTTAAAAGAAGCTGCAAAATTGTTTATATCCCCACCCGCTTTGGTCTCTAAGTCAATTTTATATAATCAGCAAGCCAAAACTTATGTTGAAAGTTTTTTTACTCATTGTACACGACCTTTCTCTAACTTTTTGCAACTGTGCGGACATAATAGAGCGAGACAAAGGGACAAGCTAGCTCATCTGCTGGATGAATTTACTGCATTGCAGGATGAAGCTGAACGCGTTGATCTTCATATACACAACATCTTCATGACCTGTAACCTGTCTCGATCACATTTGGCATGCTTTGGAACTTGGATCTTATACCATACACTGCGTATAATGATTATGTACTTGCTATCTGGATTTGAGCTGGAACTGTACAGTGCTCATGAGTACTACTACATTTATTGGTACATGTATGAATTCCTGTATGGGTGGTTAGTATCTGCATTAACCAGAGCTGATAGCTTCTTGGCAGAGCAAGAACTGTATAACGAGCTTCCAAAGTACAAGGGTTCGAATAAGAAGAAGAACAAGTGCAAGAAAAAACCCAGGCCATACTTGAAAGAATCCTTGTACTACCAGGCTTTGCAGAACATGTGTGGAGGTTACTACAAGGTTTGCATTATGTTATATGTTCCTTATGATTAATGTCTTATTAATATTTAGGCTTTGATGGGCTTTCGTATGGACGGGAAACTCCAAATGCCGCATCCACAATTTGATAGTGAACAAGTGAGGTACGATCATAGATTTGGACCATTTCAAAATTTACTGACACCACCTCCGGTTCATTATCGAGAATTCCGTGAACTCACATCGCCGGAACGATATCAGCAACAACCAGTGGACAGTTCCTATTTATATTTATCAGGATGCAAGCATTTTCATCAAGCTAGGCAACTTCTGGAAGGAATTTCACCAGCCGAAAAAGAGGTCACCGATTTGTTGAAAATTTCGAAAACCAACTTCGTGGTGTTGAAATTATTAGCTGGTGGACACAAAAAGGATTCAACTAAATGTCCGGAATTCGATTTCACTTTAAGTAAGCACTTCCCAATATTCAAACTTTCTTAAACCGAAATTTGTACTAATTTATGCTGTTTGTATTTTGAATATTTATAATTACGAAAATATGATTTATAATATTTAATTGAAGGATTTCTTTATATTTTCAATACAATTTGATTTTGTGTTTTCAATTTATAACTATCTAATTATTAATTAATTAATTAATACAATCATTGTATTTTATAATATAGATATATATATATATATATATATCAAATAATGCAATAAATAATTAAAAATACGTAAACTTTACATTAATTTCGTGATTTTTTTTAAATATTATCGAATTGACAAAACTATTAATTGTTGCTAAAAATACGCGATTGTCGCGTTTTATTGTTCTTTGTACATTTTTCAGAAGAAAGGTAATTATTTGCAATAAAAAAAGTAATTTAGTTTTGCAGTAAAGCAAATAAATTGGCTTTGAAACATTGAATTTATTCTAAAGTTTTATAATTGCATTGTTCGTATTTTTATGTAGGTTTTCTAATATAATAGAGCGGTTTTCTCTGTGGCTTGTTGAAGCTTCTCTCCCGCTCCAACTTCTTTTTGGGCGATTTTACTTTCTCTTTCTCAACAACTCTAGGAATTCCTTGACATATTTTAGGTAAACATTTAAAGATACTAACGTCCACTTTGTTCACAGGTTTATCAGAAAATTCACATTTGATTTTTCTCTCCTTGTCCTGCCTATTCCATTCTGTGGTACGTTTATCTTTGAGCAGATCTGGCGCAAGGAACCGAATCATATTCTAAAATCAAATATTAATTACCTCTACTAAAGTATTATCAAATTTACCTCAATACTCTGAGGAATTCCTTCAGGTGTGAATAGCAATTGCCATTTAGGAATCCCTAAATGCGCAATAGCCATTCGAAAATAAGTAGTAAAATCGTCTGCTAAAAAGTAGTATTCGTTTGGTCCAGTCGACAGCCAAATGGTCGGTGAATATCTTGAGTTTAAATATACCAATACGACCTACAAGAACTTACTAAAATCTTTGATACACATTTTTAAATGTTTAGTTATAAACCTTGTTATCTAGATTTATGGTGACCAGTTCAAATAATTTACTGGAATTACCCAATTTCAATTCGAATCTTTCACCGACTGTGGAAACGCCTGGATCCTGCGTCGCCTCGTGTCCAATGATTTGAACCAAATCTTGTAGTTGATTGATCTCAATCTTTCCAGTAGTTATACATTTATCCACTATATATTAATTGAATGTAACAACTATAACAAACTTCGTTTTACTTAATAAACTTACTTTTAAAACTGAAAGTCCAACTAAAAAGAAATCCATCAATAGATGTATAGAAGTTCCTCAAATCTTCTGGCAGTAAAATTCCTTGTTTATGTTCCCATGCACATATATCTCCATGACTAATTGGCTGTCTTCTGGATAAATAAGTGGATTTCACCCCTAATTTTTCAAATTTTTCTAAAAATAAAAATACTTTAAGCTTATATACTATAACTAAATTGTTTTATATAATACCTAACTGCTTTGGAAGTCCTAATAGAAGATTTACGAAGAATGAATCTTCTGAGACTTTGTCCACCACAAAATCCATAATTTCAAATAATATGATCATCTCCTAGGCAACCTTAATGACCTACATGTGTTGATGTTACATAATATAGGTGGCGCTGAATGTTTAGTGTGTAGCCATAGCGAAATATATTCCTTGTCAGTCGTTCACTGCGACAAGAAAAGTTCGTATTGATTTAGAAATACAACAAATCCAATAAGGATCCCATCGAAATGGTTCTAAGAAGTCTTGGAAAGAAGCACCTTGAGATTGCTACCAAATGGTAAGTCTAATATAATAGTAGAATTTAACCTCTAAACATTATGTAATTTGTTCTTGATAGGGTGGGATCTGCTACTGCTTTCGGAGCCTCAGCTGGTATGGCTGTGGTCTACATGACTGACTGGAAGCTGATTCTTCAATATCTCCCATACTACAATGGCAAATTCGCTGAGAAGTAAATGTATTTATTTATACAGCACTTATAGTCATAAATAAAAACTAGAAAAACAGAGTTTATAACATTTTATTAATAACCAAGCTACAGTTCTACTAAATGCAAATTATTGTTTTGGTTGTTCCATTATAATCTTAGCAAATTCCTCATTTTGTGAATACATTCTCTTGGTTGCCCAAGGTTTATAAACTCCTTTGTAGGATATGTAGCATCCAACAGAGAAGGCCACAGCTCCAAAAGCTAATATAAATTGATTGCCACTAGCCCTTTGCATGAATTTGTTATAAGCTCCCATTTTTACCTAAAGAAAAAAATAATTGAGTAAGATCAACTGCATAAGACTATCACAGAATACTATACTTATCAGATTTCTTCAGTGGGTTATCTTGAAAATAGTCTTTAAGAATGGGTTGCCAAATGTATGCACCACCTAGGAACCCCAGCACAATACCAAAACCTAGTTGAAAAGTTGATAAACCTCTGGGTTTTCGTATTCTCATTACAAATCCTGCTTGGACTGGATGTCCTTTGTAGCTGTCTCCTTTTTGAACAGGTACTTAGCTGCATATACACCAAAGTGTGCCACTAGTGCTGTTCCTACCAACAGCTTAATCAAGTTGGCACCAGCCTTGCTTCGCTTCAACATACCAAAATAAACTAACCGCAAAACGTCTTATTCAAAGGTTATGTAACTTCGAGACATATGCAACATTAATTGCGGACGGGCTCTTATTTTGCATAACTCGAAAAGATGTTATTTAATTCCATAATTTGGCGAAAAAAAATTGATTTTCTAGTTCTGGATCAGGCGAGTAGGAAGGAAAAGGGATTTCTTATTGGATCTATAGTACAATTTATCTTGAAAATATCAGAATCTACATATATATATTTAAAAATTTCTATTTGTAATTATCAGTTTAATTAGTTTATTTATGTTAGGAGAAATCATAAAGTTTAGATTTAAATCCTAAAAAAATATATAATAATTAAATGTAATTGATCATAGGTCTTCTTTATGCTATTATATTAATTTATTGTGTACTTGCATCTACTCTTGATTCGTATTTAAGTGCATATGTTTATAAAGCAGGAAGTAATCACTGGAAAACCTTTGTCTCTCAACACTTGCTTTACAACTTATCAATAGTTTTAAACAATTATCCTTATTACATTTGTATTACTGCAATAAACTATATATTTTTAACATTTATGAAAACATTTGTTATTTAAAAAAAGTTAGTAGTTTCAAAATATTATTCAATTAAAACTAAAATGAACATCCACAATTTATTATGCAATAACGAGAGAAGTGACCGTATGCAACTGAATTATAGAGTTGAATTTGGTTTCGTGTTCAAATAAATCAATAATTTTATATTCCAACTTCTGCATTATTATTCTACAAGTAGTGTAATGATTTATTCAAGAAATATTTTTAATTTACGTAACATTTGTTGCATTTCATGATAGCGAAAGATGGGCATAAAACAGAAACTGCAGCTAACTAGGGACAATTCTTAAAATATTTTACATAAGACATACAGTGTTTTCATGTAAGAATATGCATTAATTGTTAATAGTCATAAGGTAAGTAGTCAACAATCATCGGTTCAATTGTTGTTATTTTAGATGGAGCTGATAGCAACATGCCTCGTATAGTTGATGACCTTAAGTTCCCCAGAAAGTGGAAAGCATTCTTTACTAGCAGTTTTCATTTGCAAATAGTGGAAACTTTAACTGCTGAACGTGACCAAAAATATTACTTCATTAAGAAGATGGATAACAACTATGAACCGTAAAACACTATTCTATTTTTGCTTCCTACATGACCTTTAGAGATAACATTTCTGAGTGCTAGACGCATTGAAAATATTGGCTAAACAAAAATGTTAATTTTCATCAAATCCTCAGAAAGAGACCAAAAGTATTTTGAATAACTATCAATCTATATTTCCAGTTATTTAATATCTGTATATTTTAGATCAACATTCAAGTTCAATATTCTTCTAGAAGCAACTGATTACGAAAATACAGGCCATTTTCGAAAACGCTTGTATTTTCTTAAGCATTTGCTTCTAGAAGAATGTTGAATATGAAAGTTGATCTAAAATATATAGAGATTAAAATAAATGAAAATATAGATTGATAGTTTTAGCCTTTTTCTGGGAATTTGATGAAAATAAACATTTTTGTTTTTCCTGTATTTTCAATGCATCTAGCATTCAGAAATGTTTTCCAGTCTCTAAGGATCATGTATGAAATAACAATATAATCATGGGTGCTATAGGGTTCATAGTTGTTATCCATCTCCTTAATGAAGTAATATTTATGGTTACATTCAGCAGTTAAGATTTCCACTATTTGCAAATGAAAACTGCTAGTAAAGAATGCTTTCCACTTTCTGGGGAACTTGAGGTCATCAATTATACATTAGAGGCATGTTGCTATCAGCTCCACCTAAAATAATAATAATTGTTTCGATGATTTCGAAATAGAAGAAGGAAGCAATGAAGCATGTTGTTCATTAAGTTTGGATTCAGAACAATGTAGAATTAACAGGAAATTCAATAAATACCTTTAAACTTAACTTGCTACAATAGCTGTCAGTGTGAAAGCAGTAACAATAACAGTTAAACAGTTAAAAATTCAAATTTCAATTAATCAGGAACGATCGATGCTAGGAGCTCAGATACCTCCTCGCACTCCTAGTCTCCTGGTGCAAATCCCAATTTACGGCATTTTCGATAATCATTTTCAGACTTGCGTTTTGATTCGCGAAAACCGCCAACTCGTTAAATCTTAATAACTTTCTTATTAAAAAACCAACGTGTTTTATAGCAAATGTAAGCGAAAGAATTATGCTTTAAAACTGTATATTAAAATTTTCTAATATATAAGAATATAACCATTTTTTCAATTTGCTGCAATACCTTCACGTTTTTTAAATTAATCGATTACCACTTATGCTAATTAAACCATCAATTAAGCATTTTAATTTCATTCTCAATTCAATTTTGTGAGATAATTATATCATCGACCACATAATTGAAAGCTGAATACCTTTCCAACGAAACTATTAGCATCTTCGTGCTGTCGTCGATTTGCCTGCTACGAGCTGTAAAAATTGGAAAAAAGTAAATAGGATTTTTTTTTAAATCGCTGTTTTGTTGACATTCTACGAGTTTTCACGTTTTGTTCTTAATTACAGGATAATTATGTAACTTTTTTTGTATTTTATGGTTGCATAAGATGAGCGCCATCCTTACGCACCTTTTTATGTAATTTCGTAATGTTCGTTACGTAACAGGGAAAAGACGTTTTTCGGGTTGCCGACCTCTCGTCTCTATTAATAAATTATATCAATATCCAAGCAGATAGAGATTATATAAATTTAAAACTAATGCCATTGCAAATCTGTTTGTATACCAACGAACCAAATCCAATTATAATGTAACTCAATTTTGCACATTTTTTACATAAAACTTTATTAAATTGATTAGTAGCATTGACTAAATGAATACTAGAAACGGATTATCTCAAGGATAAGTAAATATTTGAAATATTTGTATGCAACCAGATTGTCTTTATTTTAAAGTTTAGTATTAAGATCATCATAGATATATAAACAAATTTGTTATTAAACGAATACTTTATTTCATTTCATTTAAATACATATATATATATATATTAATAAACTTATAAAATTAGACAACAATTTTATTAATATTTCTTTCAAGAAATAATAAGTAATAATAATTTTTATTGCAACAGTTAAAAAAAAAGTTAAACATTTTCATTCACAACAACAACAATATAACAAAATTAACTTCCGCAAAGGTTATTTAGACTAAAATATATAACATATTATTTCTTATAAAATATATATATGTTATTATATTTAAACTTTATATTATGTTTATTGTATTTGATTTTGTACTTTTCAGGTGCTTGTTTTTTAATAAATTAAAGTAAATTTAATATTATAAAATATAGTATTAATATTATTGTCCATATTTTAGCATTTAAGTTAAATTTGTTAACACTTAGAATTATTCAATTATTTTTATATCTATTCTCATGTACTTACTGCAATAATGGAATCAATATTGATATAAAAAACATTACATTTTAAGTTGAAATTGTATGCAAAACTTATTTTTTATTTTATTTATCTATTAAGAACCAAAGGAACAATCAACAAAGAAGCAGAACAATCAACTAATTGAGTTTTTTTCAGCGAAAACCCATTTGCAGGACTTCAAATACTTTAAAATTGAGAGAGAGAGACGAAACGGAATAAATCCGTTTATTTTTCCGCTGTGTTTTGATGATGGATTGAGGATTTCGTCCATTTGTTCCCTTGATTGCCTCGACCCATTTTCCGAGTGGTCCTACCGATTCGTCCTGGGGACAAACTGCTGGGAGCAATTAGTTTCGTAAACTGTTTGATTGAAATAATATCGGAATTATACAGGCAAACTATTAAGAGCATATGGCGTTCCGTTTAAATTCTCGTTTGAACCGTACTTTATTGTTGAGCTTGTATTAAATTTGCTGAAACAAACTTAACGCAATTACAGCTGCGGCTTTCCAAATGGGATGAAAACAAAGCCATAATCATAATATATATATATTTTGTTATATTTTCTTCTTTACGTTTTCTATCTGAATCACTTCTGGATGTCTGTGTTTGCGTACGGATAGTTTGTGTTGATGGAGAGACACCATCTTTGTTTTTGCTATGTTTTTCACTCTCATGAACATATAATGGTCATCACCCTCGACGTATTATAGCAGCAAAGAAAACATAGATTCTTCTTTTTGTATTATAAATATTTACGATTGTTTTATCAGAAAATTGTAGAGAATATCACTCTTGTAAAACTATATTATACAAAATAAACTAAATATTCTGTATTTAGTTACTCGATTAGTACGGTGTTAAACAGTCCTGGATATTGGCGAAACCGATTATCCGCACTATGTGAGGTATCGTCAATGTTGTATTTATTCGATCCTCTTCGATTATTCTTCATTAGATTTACTAGTTGAAAATAGCCACAAACTTTTAATGGTTGGTTTTGCTTCATAACCAGGCGCCTCCGCAATTTTTCACAGAAAATAAATATATAATTTCTTCTTTTTACATATTGATATTTTCTATCTGAAAATTATATAAATTAATATTGTACTTGATTAAATTTATTAGATTACCTATGATTAGATGGATCTGCATCTTTAGAAAATAATATACAACCATACCTCGTATAGTTCGGCTTCGATTAGCCCGGATTTACTATTGTCCGGTTTAAAATAAATTCTAAAAAATTGATACACAAAATTATTAGTTTAATCAATCTAGTCTCTTTTTGTTGTGTTTATGCGTTTTAAAGTCCTCGATTAGCTTAGTTTCAAACAGTGCAGGATATTAATATTGCATCTGAATCGATTTACATACTTAGGTTAGATTAGATGGACTTTAAGTAATCCCATGATCCAGATTATCTCCTTTCATTTTTGTTTATGTTGAAGAAGATAAAATCATATTATCCTCAAAATTATATGATTTCATTTCAGTTTTTGTTATGCTTCATTGACTTGGGTTCATCAACCATACTTTTGTATGATGAATATTTACATACCTGAAAACAATATACATCAATATTACATAACCAATCAAAGTAAATTACATACCATTAGATTGTCTTTGGTTAAATTAATCATTTTTTTATATTCTGAAGAAAAAGATCACAGCTGCTGTACTGTGTGATTAAGATGAATCAGAGTTGTTAACTTGAAGATTTCCAAAAGTAAATCATCTTATCCTCCAGATAGATAAATGATACTAAAATCCTAATTATCGCATAAAAAAAACAAATATTTATAGCTGTGTATGATTAATATTTTCATACCTGAAAACAATATAAATCAATATTACATAACCAATCAGAGTATATTACATACCACTAGATTATCTTTGGTTAAATGTATAAAATTTTTAATATTCTGATAAAAGGGGTATCACGGTGTGATAGAGATGTAGTAGTCTAGTTAACTACCAAAAAGTAACTCAACTTATCCTCCAGATAGATAAATGATACTGAAATACTCATAACAAGAAAAAATACATAAATCTAAGCATTTACTTATTTATGCCTTTGCAAAAGTTGTCTGAAAAATACGCAAGGAAAATCAGTTTACTTAGAAAGATTACTACAAGCTCACCTCCCCCCAAATGCACGGCAGAACTTCCTCCACAATACAAATAGAGCGGTCTGAATTATTCATCGTTATTACTCTTAATTTTTCATTGGGACTCGAGTCGACTTTTAAATTTATACGAGCATCTTTGCTTCAGGCAGAATATTCAAATTGCATTGCAAACCCCGTTTCCCCTTTCCATCCCTTAAGGTCCATTACGCGCTTTGCGTAACCGTTGTTAGAAGGGATCTACAAATTAAACGGATACACAAAGTTACAACTTTGATGTTAGATTCTTATTGTACGCACCGCATCGTTTCCATTCAATATTTGTCACAATGTAAATTTTGTCTAGTCTTTACATAATAATTAATTTCAATCATTTACTATTAATTTTCGTTTTTCTATTATATAAACCTGAAACAAAAAAAATAATAAAAATACAATAACAAGAAAATTATTTAAATAAAATTATGGATTATAAAGAAACACATGAATTGATTTATAATGAGAAAATAAACATGTAATTAGTAAACAAGTCCTATTATATAATATTATAACGTATTCCCTGTTAAATAAATGATTATGTAAGAGAGTTTTATTTACTAAAAAATATTTAATCGAATTACTATAGTCCATATAAACATAGTTGATGGATAAAAGTAGAAATATGTATGTATATACTTTTTTATATACTACATGTGCATGTAGTTTGCTTACATATTTTATTACGTGAATAGATGAGTAATACGATTATTACTTGCATGTTATGTTACATACATTTCTCCATTTATGATATTTTACCAGTCGATAATTTATTTATATTAACTAAATATTTAATACTCATATTTGTATTTGTCTTGTTGCTTATATTAAAAGTGTTGTAGTAATAAAAAAAATATGAAAAATTCATAGCAGATTAATTATCACATTTATGTTCATAATAATGAATACTTAAAATAACTAAAATCATTAATATATTTAAATGATATTAAAAATTCTATAATTATTACAAAAAACCCTTCAACATTAAGTAACATTTGTAAAAATTGTTAAAACTTTTGCTTTTTTTCCAAAAAATGTATTTTGTTGATTAAAATTTTGCATACTAATATAAAAATTGATAATTTTTTATCATTACATAAGAAAATATTTTCTTAAATTTANNNNATAGTGCGAAAGAAACAATTAGTCCGGTTTCAAAATAGCAAAAGAAATTAAATTTTAATTGACAAAAAATAAATAAAATTTGTGATTAAAATAAAAATTTGTAAGAAAATTTAATAGAAAGAAAATTCGAACAGTCCGGATTAATTATTCGGTTTAAAAATTGTAAATGAAACTAAATTTTAATTGAGAAAATATAAATAAAATTTGTGGTTAAAATGAAAATTTGTAAGAAAATTGTATACAAAGAAAATTCGAATAGTCCGGATTCATTATTCAGTTTGAAAATTGTAAATGAAACTAAATTTTAATTGAGAAAATATAAATAAAATTTGTGAATAAAATGAAAATTTGTAAGAAAATTGAATAGAAAGAAAATTCGAACAGTCCAGATTAATTATTCGGTTTGAAAATTGTAGATGAAAATAAATTTTAATTCACAAAATATAAATAAAATTTGTGGTAAAAATGAAAATTTGTAAGAAAATTGTATACAAAGAAAATTCGAATAGTCCGGATTCATTATTCGGTTTGAAAATTGTAAATGAAACTAAATTTTAATTGACATAATATAAATAAAATTTGTGGTTTAAAATAAAAATTTGTAAGAAAATTGTATACAAAAAAAATCGAATAGTCCGGATTCTTTATTCGGTTTGAAAATTGTAAATGAAACAAAATTTTAATTGACAAAATATAAATAAAATTTGTGGTTTAAAAGAAAATTTGTAAGAAAATTATATACAAAGAAAATTCGAATAGTCCGGATTCATTATTGGGTTTGAAAATTGTAAATGAA